ACTGGATCTGAATTTGCAAGATCGTACGTAAGCAAAGGGATCACTACCCTAAAATTTCATCTTCTTAGATTCAGTGGTCCCCGAGATAATAATTTCCCCGCCAAGACTTTTTATGGGGCCGTACGTGTTACCCGCGGGCAGGAGAAAGCTGAATTTAAATTTTCTGGGTCGCACGTGGGCAGGTAACACGCTCACAAGATTTCAGCTTTCTAGCTTCCATGGCGTCGTGGACAACAATTCCTTTCCTCAGCTCGATGTTTCTTGCCACGAAAGCTCTTCTGGTTGCCCGCTCCAAAGAATTTATACCAAATAAATAAAGTTCTAAATCGGCAGAATGGCTTGCAGTAACAATAGCCCAAGTCCCTCAATTAGGCGCAATACGTTGGCCCTTCCTTGGTTGTTTGGCGAATGAGCTCGTGGCTCCTTCTTCACTTCTTTTGGCGAACACGGTCCGTCGGCTCTTTTGATTCCTTGAGCTCGGTTCGTCGGCTCGTATCGTCCTTATACCCTCAAACTTGGGTAATATAACCTTTATTAAGAAATGATAAGAAATCGAACATAACGTAACGCGTATACAAGCGCGAACACGTAACAAAATAACAAATCATTATACAAATCGAAATGTAAAACCAAAAAGATCGGGTTTGTGTTGCAGTTGATGTCTTGTGTCGATCCTGTTGGTCGCCCGCCGTTGTTCCTCGCTGCTCGTCCGCTGTTGTCGGTTGTTGTCCTCGCCACCGCTCCTTGTTGCCGTTGCTTTGCTGAATAATAAGACTGTCGGTTGTTGTTGTCCTCGCCGCCGCTCCTCGTTGCCTTCCTCGCTGACTAAGAGCTGGCCGAAGGGCTTGTTCATTGCGCCTCGCCGCCTGCCATCGTCGCCACACACAAACAGAGAGAAAGGGCATATGCACTTTACACACACCTCACAGAATATATACATTTTTGAATTTGGAATAAATTGCATGAGTTATGCTTCTCGAGAAGATGCGTTTTCTCGACACATGGCTCCTGTGATAATTTTAGCAGCCAAAACTTCTACGATGCCGTACACGTTATCCGCAGGTACGAGGAGACTGAATTTAAATTTGCTAAGTCACACGTGGATAGGGAACATTCCCTTAAACTTTCAGCCTTCTAGCTTTGTAGTTCCCGAGTTGAAAATTGCGGACACACACAGACAACTCCATGACAGTATGCGTTTTTTACTACTGCTACACAGCACAAAACGCATTAAAAAACTGTGCTACTGGGGTGTTTCATCTTGGCATTCAAGTAAGCTTTGATGCTGAAATTTTACCAGTGGGTCCCCTGGCCAAGTGCTGCCTCAGGAACCTT